GGAGCTTTGGCGGAGTTCCCCATCACCTTGAGGTACATCAAGGCTCTGCTCTGGCTCTTCGCACTTTTCGTTGTAATCATGGATGCCATATCACGGGATCTCCAGGAGAAAATGGCTTGGACGCTGCTTTATGCTGGTGATGTGATTTTGCCTGGGAAGAAAAGGACACGCTGCAATCAGGTGCAAGCTTCGTCTGATCGCCGGGCGGAGTTTGGACTCAGGTTGAACGTCAGAAAGACACCACAAATGAGCCGGGCTCCATTAAGATCGATGACACGGTGCTCAAGCGCACGGAAACATTCAAGTATCTCGGATCAGCACTTGCGTCCGATGGCAATACAAAGTCAGAAAAGAGAGCGGAGGAGTGCGGCCTGGTCTAAATGACGATCCATGTTTGAGATCCTTTGCAGCAAGAAAATGCCAGAGCGCTTCAGATGGAAGATCTGTAGAACTGTCGCCGACCGGTCAGGTGGTGCTTAGTGCTAGCCCGAACCAAACAAGCTAAAGCTCGCCTCGATGTGATGGAGAGACAAATGTGGCGTTGGACGGCGGTCGTCACGCAGCTGGACCGTAGCTGCAACGCCCCCGTTCCTAACAGAAAAGGTTCGTTGTAGCCCCTAGCAGACAAAATGCGACACACGCCTTCGACGGTACGGCCGTGTACCTGAAGGCTGACACCGTTCGCAAAAAAAAAAACCTCCAGCCAGAGGTGCTTGGAAAGCGGCCGAAAGGGCGTCTCAAACAGCGTTGGCTAAACACTCTGCATACAAACTTGAAAATAGCCGGCATTCACCTCGATCAGGCATTCAGTCGGGAGGAATGGCGTCATTGTATCAGAAGAGCAGATCCCGATACAGAGGAGACAAATGCTGAAGAAGAAAAAGCAGATATTTTGATCACCGGCCACTCCATGCTAAAACAATTATTTCTTCTGAACTGCAGCAAGAGGTGTGGCCTGGATTGCTGCGAACGAAGAGGCGTGTCTGGCGGGTCGGGAGAACGGGATTGGCGCGGCGCCAAACCCGTTCTCTACTAGTGACGAACGATATAACACAGTCGTGTCGCTTACGCTCCTTCGACAGTTGGTGGAGGACAGGCTGGCGCCGCGCCAACAGCATCCCTCCTGATACACTCGTCGTTCCGCAGCGAACAAGTCTGAAGGCGAATGGCTCAGAATTCACTTATTCTGTGACTTTGCCTCGTACGGGAAGTAGGAAGTCTGTTTGCTTTCTCTTGCGCTAGTGTCTGATGTGTTCATTTCATTAGTTCGTTTCATGGCGCGCTTTGAGTGCAAGCATAGATAACAAGTAAAGAAATAATGAATTCCGCCTGGCTTGGTGGTAGCTCGAAATTGAGCGCTTTGACGCTTTGGATCGAACTTGGTCCCTTTTTTGCAACGGTTTGTCCTTCCCCAGAGTTCCGGTGTGGTTTGTCTCATGCATAGCTTGAGAACATTTCAACAATGAAACAGGTAATTGTGCAGGAATAAGGAATAAAAAAGAACGACGGGTGAGGTGGAATTGTAGTTTTTCGGAATAACAAAAGTGGTCGTTTTCCAAAAAAAATGAACAGAGAAAAAGTGTTTAAACTTGGACCTTGTCGTTGAAACTGACTTGCGTTTCAACATACTTTTTCTTTGCAGAGACATCTCCGAAAACAGTTTGACAAAAAAGAGTTTTTAAAGGAGCCATAGCTGTGATAGCTACTGTATAAATATCCTATATTGCTGAAGTTCTTTATTCAGGTCCGGCATGTGCCAGAATCACGTGTTCAGAATTATAATTTCGAAGTGAGCGGAGAAAAATCCAGTGACAACGATCGCCAGTTGTGTCCGTCACTCAAATTCAGGGTGAGGCCCTTTATTCTTTCTCTTGAGCAGTAGTGGAACTGGAACATGGAGTTGCACAAGGTTCGCTGTCGACTTGTCGACCATAGTCAGGCCATACAGGAGGGGAATTATCTATGCTCGGACCTAAATGGAGTTCTTTTCCAACAGCTGTGATCCAGCAGCATTGAGCATTCCTTAAGAATCTATAGAGTTCTTTCTGCTTTGGGGTAGTAAATTTTTCGTGTGGGACATCAAAGTTTTTTCAAGGAACTCAAACGAAAGTAGTTTTTCGCAGTTTTCTGGGTTTACCCTGCTATAGTTGCAATTTATATCTGAGCATAAGTGGGACTCGGAAGGGTAATTGTTAAGCTAGGTAACATGGCAAGGACGTTGATCTAACCTGCACAATCTGGCTCATCAGTCAAAGATAATACCCACTGATCGGTGGGCCAGTTTGTGTAAGTTGGATAATTGAAGTAAGTGTGCAAGCTGAATTTCGGAAACTCGCGAGATTTTTCTGTCTTTCGAGTTTTTCGAAAAAAAACTTTTGCAATTTTACTTTTTTCCTACTAAACATCAGCTTCTCTAAGCTTTCATATACAAAGCGCGCTCAGGATAAGGCAGCCTCGATCGTTTTTATTCTTAGCTACGGTGCATTTTATTGCTCTTACAAGGGAGGTCTTTCAGGTCGTGGCGCGCTTTTTGGAAATGGTTTGTTGCTTGTTGTAGGGGTCCATACAAGGATCACAAAAATGGGTTTCATTTTTGCTATGCGTTTCTGGGGAGGTCAAAAACTGAGTGAAAAGAATTTGACAAGAATGGGCGATTTTAACTATCTTCAGTGGGCTCCGTTCTGATTGTAACTTCAAGCATGCATACTTTATGAGGTGCTCGTTAATTAGGCCTCGAAAATAGTTTTAAATAAGCTCAACATGTAAGTATCATCTAGTAACATACTTGGCGTGCACCGACGCAACAGTGATGTTTTTGTTAGCGGTTCCTCATGATCATGTTGTGCGCGATAGTAGGATGGCCGCAGTGCATTAGCTCGATTGGATTCTGTGACGGGGACGACGGTATCGGACTTTGTGGATCGGATCCTCCTTGCGGGCGAATTTATTGCATTTTTCAGCTTTCTATTCATTCGCGTTCCTGTGTGTCTAGCAGTGGAAATAAGCCAAGTATATGCCATTTGAAGGCATATTCTTCATTCTGATACCTTACAAACCAGCTCGGTTGTATGGTGTATAAGCCTGTTTACGCCTGGGTGGCCGCCGGGTATGTCAAAGAGCATCCTGGACTGTTTTCAACTCCGGCCGATTTCGATTCTACGAGGGAGATGTTGTCGTCCCTTGTCAAGAAGACAGTAATTGTTCTTCTCTCATCTCGAATGAATACTGTTGTATTAGAGGAATGAACTCTGATAGAGCTTGATACTGCGCACCTCTTTTGAGATCGTATTTAAGAGAGGTGAGCGGTAGGGTTGTTCAGTTTTGTGTGCGGTATACTGGCAGATAAACCTTCTGTGCGTATCATTCATCAACACGCAAGAAGGATCCAATCCACAAAGTCCCGTATCCGCCGACAGTGAGCATGAGGGGACCGCTGAAAAAAATATCACTCTTGCGTCGGTGCATGCCAAGTGTGTTACTACATGATACTTACATTTTGACTTTATTTAAAATTTTCGAGGCCTAATTAACGAGCACCTCATAAACTATGCATGCTCGAAGTTACAATCAGAACGGAGCCCATTAAGATAGTTAAAATCGCCCATTCTTGTCAAATTCTTTTCACTCAGTTTTTGACCTCCCCAGAAACGCATAGCAAAAATGAAACCCATTTTTGTGATCCTTGTATGGACCCCTACAACAAGCAACAAACCATTTCCAAAAAGCGCGCCACGACCTGAAAGACCTCCCTTGTCAGTATATGTGTTTTGTGTATGTTTTCAGTTTCTTTCAATTTCAGTGTCAATATCCAAGCTGTCGGCGTGTGATCACCGGTAATGTATCATTCGTGTGCCATCTTTGGGCGCACATAGCAACATGGAAAGAATATGATCCAAAGTCGCCCTCATTTCCTTTGCTCAGTGACAGTCATTCAATTTCTACTGCACCTTCCAAAAGAAATGACGTTGACATCCTCTCAACTTGCCCGAGCTGTACTGCTCGATTTCATACGCCATATCTAATGCAGGTGCGTGGCTAGATACAATATTTCATTATGAGCAGTCTCTTTCAACGCTGTTCGGCTTGGGAGGAGGCTTTTACTACATCGTTACCTTTACTTAATTTCTGGTAACTTGTACCTATCACTTTGATGAGACCTGTAGAACTTGTAAACAGAGCTCGTGCTATTGTAAAGCTCCGAACGAGTTCATAGGCATCAATGGGAGGCAGCGGTGGTGATCGATAAGGACCAGCAAAACGCCCTACCAAGCCGAACTGCGCTTTGACTCTTTTTGAAGTGTTGTAAGAGCTCTTCTTCGGTACTTTTTGTATAGGCACAGATTTTTCTGCTGATAAACATGGGTCTTTTAAGGTGCACTACACAAGATGTCACTCTCGGCAACCGCAAGCGGTTAACCGCGCAACTTGTGCTATCTGTGAGAGAGACGTCCGCTCTGATGTTAGTTATCCCTAAACTTCGATTTAATTTGCTGTCCTTTCACGTCTGTTTTGTACAGGTTGGAGCAGCTAATGCGCTGCGCACCCACTTACTAACTCATGAACCAAACGATGCCCCTTACCACTGCAAACGCTGTCGCTATCGATGCACAGTTCGAATGCACCTATTTGATCATTTTGTCAGGGAACACAAAAATACGAGGTATGACCTTAGTGCTCTTGTTCTTATTATTATTTTTAATGTCACACACCTATTTTTGTTTTGTTTTTATTGTTCGTTTGGTGCGGCCTCTGTGAATCTGAGAAGGTGAGAAAGAAGGCCCCATTCACTTGAACTTTTAATGAGAAGCTACGTTCCTGGCAGGGAGCCTCAGTGGCCATAGCCATGACCGTTCCGCGTCTGGCAGTCATTTCCAGAATTCTCATATGATTTGGTTGTTCATCCCTGTGACAGAGGCGATTACGTCGAATCATAGGCCTTTCTTCACACGTTAAAACAGCCCCCCAGGCTAAGCAGTCCGTAGGTCCTATAGGTCCTACTTTGGGCAAGTATTGTGACCGTCTCTGAGATTATGTCACTTTCGCTGCTTCACAGGATGTAATGAGGTGCTGCGTCCCTCAGTAATTGGCAGTTCTTACGCCTCACTGTTATCTCGCCCACTAAACGCAAAGGCTGTTTTCTGTCACGAGTTGAGTTTCCATGCTGTGTTTTTCTTCTTTTTCCCTGGTGGATGGTATTAGCAATGGATGACGTAATGAGACGGTAAGCCTGAGGGGGCGGATATCCCTTTGGTGGCATAAAACGAGTAGTTCCGGAGAACTCGCACAGTGAGGTTGTCAGGAGGTTCTTACTTAGGGTGTTGTCAAGATTTTTTGCTTAGGGTTGCTTAGCGACTATAGGTTTGTAATTGAACTATACATGACTATCCATAATCGCGCGGTTCGTCTCTAAAGAACTACTAGCATAGAGTCGGGTCTCTTTTGTTTGTATTTTTTTTGGCTGGTGTTCTTCAAAAGCCTCCGTAATGAAACTTTTCTTGGTCGATCTAAGCTAGAGTTTTTTATTTACTAGAGTTTTTTTTCGGTTTTCCAAGCTGTTGGAAAGTGCCATCTTCAATCGCTAAATTCGAACTTCAGTTAAAATCACTTCTTTAGTCAGTAGTAGTCTGGAGCGGACTGATATTTCTATCTTTTATCCCTGCTTAAACTGGCGCGCCAGCGGTGAAACATTAAAGGGGGAACCGAAAAGTGCCGCGTCTCTCTGTCGCTGATAAATGGCGCTCATCGCGTCTGTTCAATCACTGTGACCGACAATTTATCGGCCGGCTAATCTTCAAGAGGTACTGCTAACTCGTCCAGAAAGAAGAAGAGCTTGCCCATTCGAAAAGGACATGGTCTCAGTTTCATCAAAGACTGCTCTGCGTATTAACCTTTTGAAGACGCAAGTGTTAGGCTTAACAACACGAGATAAAGCTGACTTATATACCAGTAGTGGCAGACATCTTGATGAACCCTAAAGTGCAGTGGAACGAGCTGGAGAATAGTTTAACCCGGTGCCGCCCTCTACTCCACCTGCGCTAACCTCACTGTGCAGCGCTTGCGTCGATACCAAGACCCCGCAACGAAACATGTAACTGTAAAGAACAACCAGAAGTAAGAGGGCGCGGATAAGTACCGTTTGGCTATAGTTAGGCGCTGCACCGGGCGCAGTATGAGGACGGCACACGGGTGTCACTACCTTCTGGTACGAACCCATTCTCTTCACACATTGCAAGGCCCAGGATCCGCGTAAGGAATATACAGGTTACCTTTGACGCTTCCAAGCTGATACACCTGGAGAGGCTATATGGCAGTCGTCATGCTTCAGAACTCCTTTCTGAGGGGCAGTGTACCGCTCCAAAACTGATAACTTGGCTTTTCTTCCGCCGAAATAATTAGCGGAAACTGATCGGAGAGGTGTTCCCCAAAGGCAGCGCGATCACGACACAAATTTGCCAACTATCGAACGATAGGTTATGGGCAGAACTCTCCACGAGGCTGGACACGAACCCTCACCTCACGCTTTTTAGACAAGTGCAGTATCCGTTGCGCCAACGATCCCGCTTTTTACAGTCTCACCTTGGGAGCTTTCATCGTAATGCTGCTCAGTGGTTCAAATCTACAGAAATATAGTGTAGTTCGCTGCGGACGGTTGGGCGTGTGAGTGCGGCTGCGTTTGGTGCGGTGCCAAACTCGTTCTCCACCAGTTGTTGAAGCGGGCAAGTGACAATACTGTATCATATCCTTCGTATTACTCGTTTTCTACCACTTTTTGTCGCATGCGCGCTTCAACAAGGCAGAGAACGGCTCTGACGGCGTGACACACTCATACTGCCTGACACGCCCAACCGTCCGCAGCGAAGTAGAGTGTAGTTGTTGCAATTCCATGGAGTAACGGCTTGTGTGATGTAAGTGGCCCAGAGCAACTTTGAGCTTACTAAAAAAATTAGCAGGCTTATCTTTTTCTTATTCGTGAACATCATTTTTGGACCACTTTTTTATATGTTTGAGTCGACTATTTGACATTGTATTTATTTGCCTTTTCAGCACGCTTATGTGCCCGTTCTGCACTTTCACCCTGGTTGTTCCCTCATACCAACGAAAACGACCGGTTATCCGTGTATCGGAGTTCGTCACTCACATGATAAGCCATGAATCAGGTAACCAATTTCGCTTACCATGTCATCAGTCCTTTCCTCAAACATTAGTAAATGACTGAGCAAATTTTTCAGAATCTCGTCTCGGTTGTGATCATTGTGCATTGTCTTTTACAAATATTGCTGATAAGCAGAAGCATAGGAGGGACCATTCAGCGGTCAATCCCAAGTGGACGATGACGTACAGGGTAAATAATTTCAAGTTTTTTTTCTTTTCGGCATCCAAAACCATTCTATGTCTGCCCCGCAATTGAGTTATTGTACGCTTATTTTTAAATTCTTCCTTCAGAATCCGGAAACTCGATCTCGACAGCGAAGTCGACTGGTATGTCAGGAGCAGAAGCCCCAATACCAGTGTAAACAGTGCGTAAACAGCCCAGATGGTGGTGCCTCCAAAAAGTGTATTGCATGTGTCACGCTTGCGTTCAACGAAAGCCTATATGGTAAGTTTGAGGCGAGCCTCCATCCTTCTAAACTATCGTGTTATGTATTTCTTCGCCTGGACTCAGGTCCAGCGTAGAGGTATGGCTTCTTAAGTGTTGGCTTTCAAGTTCGAGCCTGTAGTCGCTAAATGCCCTGAGGAAGAAAACAACAAAAAAAAGGGAACACCCCGATTTCTTCGGACCTGCGCCGTTCATGCCACTGAGCCGCCCTGGTTCATCGTTTCTTCGCAAATATCATTAAAAGGGGAAAAAACGACGAAAACACGATGTAGAAAAGAAACTCGTGGCTGAAATAAGACTTTGAGTCCATCTTCTAATGAACTGGAATTTGGAAACAATCAGCTCGGGCAAACTGTTGCATCAATGCATTCTCATCATTGGTGAAGAACGCTTGTCATCCCGCGAGTTGACATTCTATGTGCTCCCAATGGCAAAAGTATTGTAAAAGAACCCATTTACTCTCAGCAAGCGGAATGAGCACGCGTTTCGAATTTATATCCGCTGTTCCACCAAACGACACCTGAGCGCCTGCCGTTAAATGTAAAGGGGCATATTTGAAGGGTTGTGCAACTGGGAAGGTGTCAGAACTGCCCACTAATGAAAGCCGCAGCGCTCTCGTTACTTGCTCTAAAGCCGCGAAAGTGTCACAAACTGATAGACTCTCATACTAATTGAATAACGAAAGGCGCTCACGAATTAGTTGAGCGGGGAAGCTGTCTTTAAAGAGAGCGCCTGATGATATGTGTCCTATCACAATAGCAACGTCGACCGGAGGATAATCCATAGTTAGTAAGCGTCGTGTTACGTGATAACAATGATCAATTGAACAAATCGCTGCGGGCGAAGAGGCTTGTGAGGCACCACGAGTTCGTGACGATGCCAGATCCGTTCTACACTAGGTGTTGAAGCGAGCAAGTGACAAGACTGTTATATACGTTCGTATCACTCGCTTTCCACCAGCTGTTGTCGCATACCCGCTTCAACAACTGGCAAAGAACGGGTTGGCGCTGTGCCACACTCATACTGCTTGACACGTTCCTTCATCCGGGAATTTTGATGACGACACCTGTTTCTTACGTAGATCGTTCAAGATTGTTTGAATTTAGGGAAACGACGTATCGCAACGGATTCTTCTGTTCGTCGAGGTATCGACGCACTTCAATGCAGTCTGCGGGGGTTGCGATTTCGGTGCAAGTGTGGAATGAGTACGAGAAATGGCAATCGAATGGCTCAGCACTTTTATTATTGCAATAATGATTTCGAGGTTAGTCCATTTTCTGCGGCACTACTTGACATATCCCAACTGTACAGCCATTTTTTGATTGCGTGGTGGCAGTTTCTCAGTAGCAGATGTAAGGCAAAGCTAGGAAGCAGGATCTCAACAGTGTGTGGTGACTCCTCACACTGCTCTCAGGGCCGTCATGCACTGGGGTTTCTCAGGGGAGGGTCATATTTGGTCGTTGGAAGATGGGGCTCGTATTTGACCTGAGAATTATTTTCGTGATTGGCCTGATCTGAATGGGTTTTTCCTGTTCCATGAACACTAGCCACATCGTCGGGAGACTTCCTCCCCCCCCCCCCACACGGCAGCTTTTTTGAGGGAAAAGCCTCTTCCGTTCCACGGCAGTTTTTTTTTGGAAACGAGAAGTTTCCTGGAAAACTTGAAATGGTGAGAAGTTGGGAAAGGGTAAGGGTAGGTGATATGGAGAATGGTCACGGGAATTATGCGGTAGGGAAAAATTCGGGAGAGGGTCGTTTCCCAACGACAGGACACGCCCTGACTTCTCTACAGTAGCTGGGGATCTTGATAAAAAGGGATCATTTTCTCATCTTATTAGCGTTTTCCAAGAACATCTTTCAGTTCAACTCGTAAAACTCCCTTATTTTCGTGTAGTGAAAAATACCACCCCATATTTATGCAAATGAAGTCACACTTCAAGGCTCTTATTTCCTCGTTCCAGGTCATAGAAACGGACGATGAGTTCGCTGAGCCTACAGATGCCGACCAAGAAGAGGACAAACTGGAAGCACAGCTATTCTCAGTCCTCCATAAAAAGGAGCCGGCGATGCCGAACGTGGTGAGTTTTTGTATGTTTCTTATGATTTCATAGTTAAGCCGCAATGCTTGAAGATTTTGTACCCTTCGGAAAACAGCTTTACGCCTGAATGGCGTTGAATTTTTTGTCCTGAAATCACTTCAAAATCACTTCCCAACTTAAAGTGAGCTTTCGCTGAGAACTGTGTAGCCATTTTCTGAGATAAATTCATTTATCTGGTAATATAAATATCTCCAAATTTCGTGAATATTGCAGAAAATCGTAGAGCGGAAACGTAGGTTGATCGAGCCACCACTGCTTATTTTCGAACAACAAGTGAGCAACTTGAGCAAACCTGAGGATATGAATAACGCTGTGCTCTTCTACAAGTAAAAATTTGATTGCAGTCGTAAAAAAATACCATATTCAATGCTACTCTTATTTTCAGGAAGTGTGCAGAAAACGGTCCTCATGAGAGTATTGAAAGTTTCAAGGATCTACGAGCATCGTATGATTTTTGCTGAATAAGTCCTTGTTTCCCTTTTATATGAAGACATGTCTAATTGCCCCTAATGACCCCCATTCATCACACATATAGCTTGCGTTGCATAAACGTCGAGATTTGCGGGTACTCTCCATACATTACCAGGCTTGTTACTTAAAGGGTACATTGATATGACTATTTTATGTCAGTTGTGAAGAACACTGTAGCATCTCATCTCTAGTGAATGACTTATTACGTAAGAATCCTTCTAGAAGCTCATAATTATGTTTACTTTCATGTTTGTTCATCGGTGCACTTTTATTATTACATTTTTATCCTGTATTATAAAATTTGCCGCATTTTGGAATAACATTTGTTTTTACTTTCCATTTCGATGTCCACTTGAAACCTAGAAGAATGCATGTGGAACGATGGACGCTTGGCGTCTGTACATTGCGACTGAGGAGATTAGGCGTTTTGAGAGATTCGCGACGAAGAAACTCTGCTTATTTATTGATTGGGCGATTGGAGAGATCGAGCGATCTGGCAATTTGAAAGGTTCGGCGTTTTCAGCGATTGCGCGCTAAAGTGGATGCCTATCGATCGGCGCCGGTCGCTACAGAACGCAGAGATTCGGCGATCTCCCAAAGCGCCAGCTCGCTGAGCCTGAGATCGTTAGCGACCGATGCCAGCCGATATCCATTCACTGCTTTGGCGCGAAATCGCAAAATTCCGGTATCGCCGATGGCTCAGTCCGCAGATCGATACCCACATCTTCATCCTCAAATCGTCGTCTCCCATGCCGCCGAATGTCTCCATCTTGCCGATTCTCTTCAGTCGCTAAGTATGAACGCAGCCTTACTCCGAACGTGAGCATTATCAACTCGATATGCATTTATTAGGTGATCGCGCCGAGTAACGACGGCATGGCTTGTGCAAACTTCCGGGTTATAAATGGGCAACTGTTTTCCTTGCTTTTTTCCTTTTATTCCATATTGCGATTGTACCATTTCTGACAGTTGTTTTTAAAGACCCTGACTGATAAAATTATGTGGTAAATTGCGTGTTGTGCGCTCTTTTAGGCCGAATAAATTGTTGTTATATCGTATCATATGTTTTATTCTCTTAACTTCTGCTTCTCAGAAAGATCTTATATTTAGAAGTCATGTTTTTCTCACTAACATGTTGGAAGAGGCTGCAATTGCATGGGTTACGCAGATTTGTCCAAGGCGGCCATACTTTGCGCTAGCGGTTCTGAGCGACGCCGCTCTTGAGCGACTGGGAAAGTATAGGTATCGATTCGATATGATCAAATTGCTGGGTCGATACCTGTACTTTCCTAAAGGCACAAAACGCTAGCTCAAAGTATGAATGTGTTCTAACATTCACGCTTGCCGCTTTTGAAGCCGACAGCCTGAGGCTGTGTCCGTACTTCGCGATTTGATCACTCTGATTTGGTCGCTCTGGTCGCGCTCGATCTGATAGTTCGCCTCGCGCGATTAGAGGAACTAAATCGCGAAGTATGAACGTACAATAAGGCCTCTTTTGACTGCTGCAGCGGTCCAACAGTTAGCTGTGGGGCTTGGTCAGACACAGTCGCACGAATAAATCGCTCGTGTCCCTCAAAAGCAGTTACGAGCGTTTGGATTTTGTGGGAGTACAATTCCCATGTCTATGGTGGATATACCACGTGGTGGTTAAGCATGCCCCGCTATAGATCTTTTGAAAGAAAATCCATGAAGTTCAGGAATGGAACAGACCATAGATGCCATATTGAGCCATCAAAGTGTGAGAGTTCGGGACAGCAATGTTGTGAAGAAGAAACTCACAGAAATGTTGAAAGGAGGTAACGACCAGTTAGGGGTAAGTTTTAGTCCCGTTCTGAGATGTTTTCTGTGAGAAAACGAAATGTATGATGTTTTTATGTTAAGGTCATCTCTGACTTTTGACTTCACCTTGACGCGTTCTGTTGATCGCGATG